TAAAATCTTTTGGCGGTCTCCTCCCCCTTACATGCCGATGTTCTGGATAGTAAACTTGGCCTTCAGTCTCCTTTCACTGTCAAATCCTCCTTATTAAAAGTGTGTTCCAGTGGTGTTTCAGTTCACTGATTCCGTATTCATGTTCAGTTGGGAATATTCAGGTAACATTTGACACAAATTATTATCCTAGGAGTTGCCTCCCTGAAACTCGAATGCAGGGTGGCGAATCAGAGTTGACCGTAAATGGCAGTTATCCCAGCCTTTAGATTTCTTGTATCTTATGGGATGAAATAACTTTAGTTGTTTTGCATCAGGTGTAAATATAAATAATAGAATAAAATATCGGACACATCTGTCTTCTGATAAAGGACAAATACGAGTTGTTTTTTTACTTTTTAAATTTCTCACAAAATTTGAAAAGCGTAGAATGATTTTAATATGACTTGATGTTTATTCTTGCCGATTTTCTCCAGAAAGGGCAAAACCTGGAGCCGTTTATCCAGTCGTTCTTCAGTTCCTGTGAATCCCCCAAACCCAAACCCAGCAGACCTGAGCTCACCATCCTCAGCCCCACTGCAGAAAATAATAAAAAGGTGTGTTCACTACTCAAAACACACTTTTATTTCAATAAAGGCTTTTTCCTTTCTTTCGGAAAAATATGGTCTTAGAATAGTTCTGGTTGCGTTTTGTTTTGTATCTTGTTAATGTATTAGAATCCTTTACATTTGAGAATTTCATATGGACAAAAATTATTTTCTGGTTGCCAGTCTCTACAAAAGTACATTTAAAACCATTGTAGCACATGTATATCTTACAAAAAAAGTCTGAACACATCTGCTCAAAACACAATTTTTCATAACTATCTGCACTTTCAACTGAAGATCACTTAAGCTTAAAAAATTGCTCATTTACAGCAAGGGCAGGGACATTTTCTCAGCATTGATCATATTTATATTAGCCTTATTACTGAAAAGATCATGATTTTTCTTTCTTTCAATTTTTATTGAATTTATTAAATTGTGAAATATTGACGTTTTGAAGTCTTTGAAGGTGCAGTTCAAATATATTTTTGGGCTAAACCTTGTAGGTGATTGAAAGATGTATCAGTACAAACCGTACTTAAATCATAGTTTTGGAAATCCATCATTCAAAAATAAAGAAAGAAAGCAATCTTGAATTGACTGTCATGTCGTCTGTGTTATTTTCAATACTGGAAATAACTTTTCCACTCATGCCATTTTAGCTGTTCAACGAGCTGTACAGAAACAATGCCAATCTGCCAGAGGGCCTGGAGAGAAAACACAACCAGAACTACTTCATGGAGCTGATGGAGGTTGATGGACTATATGACTACATGATGTACATAGGTAAGTGAATGTAACTAAACTTTTTTTTCATCGTAACACTTTAAAAAATGTGTTTTTATTAATATGAAGTATGATTACTAAAATTAGAGCAAACACATAAAGTATCTTTTCAAAGTCTTATTAAAGGAAAAGTTCACAAAACATGAAAATGTACTCATCTGTTTGATCTTATTTTTTCCAAAGAACACAAAAGTAACAGCTCATGATTGGCCCACGCAAGTGTGTCCATACGACTCGTGCACGTTTCTCCTGAAGTCACATGACTGGTTTGTTTTTTTTGACTCAGGTCGGGTGGTGTTTCATATGCCTGACTGGCTGCATCACTTTCTGAGCGGAGCTCGTATTCTCTTGAAGAGGACACTAGAGGCGTATGTAGGCCATTATTTCCAGGTCAAACTAGAGCAGATCATGCAGGAGCATCGCCTCGTCTCTCTCATCACTCTGTTGCGAGGTTTGTGTGCTCCAACTTTATAAAATCATATCTTCAAGTTCTTCAATACCTAATAGCCGTTATACACTCTAAAAACTCAAATATTGCCTAAATGCATCATAAACAACTTCTGCATAGACAGACAGAAAGAATAGCGGTTACAACCCCAATTCCAGAAAAGTTTGGACGTTTTGCAAAATACAATACAATTCTCTTTGACTTCTATTTAATTGACAAAAGTACAAAGAAAAGATTTCCAAAGTTTTCACTGACCAACGTAAATGTATTTTGTAAATATAAACAAATTTTGACGGCTGCAACACACTCACACAGGCTAAATAAAAGTGAAAAGGTTATAGAATATCCAAGTTAAACTGTTTTGGAGCTGTTCACAGTAAGCATGTGAACTGGTAATAGGTCAAGGTATCATGTTTGGGTATAAAAGGAGTATCTGAAGTCTTTGCAAGCAAAGCTGGATTGTGGCTCATCACTTTCTGCCAAATTTCACGAGAGAAGTGTGAAACGAATCGCATTTCTCAATGCAAAATCACAAAGAATTTAGGTCTTTCTCCAACTACCATACATGATATTGTGAAACGATTCAGAGAATACAGAGAAATCTCAAGTCTGTGTAGGGCAAAGCAGGAAAGCTCAGGTGAAGGTGCTTGACCTTTGAGCCCTCAGATGGCATTGCATAAGAAACCGTCATGCTGTGGTGTTAAATATAGCCACATGTGCTCAGGAGTACTTCAGAAAGCCACTGTCATTTACCACAGTCTGCTGCTGCATCAAGAAATGCAACTTGAATCTCTGTTACTCTAGGAGAAAGCTATACGTCAATTCTATGCAGCGATGCTGCCGGGTTCTCTGGGACAGAGCTCATCTCAGATAGTCAAAAAGACAGTGGAAATGTGTGCTGTGGAAAAACGTCCCAGCTTTTCTGGAACTGGGGTTGTAGTTTGTTCTTGGATGCATGCCATTAGTACCTTATCTGCCTTATTTCAAGCACTTCCTTCCACTTCACTTAAACATACAGTCTCTGACTACTCAACTCGAGAACTTCCAATACTCGAAATGGATCCAATTGATCTGCAGCCTAATAGAAGGGATGTTTCAGGCAGCTCTCTATCCCAAAATGCAATTACATTTGTGAAGTCACAGCAGTTCGTGCTTAACCCACACAGCTCTAGTGTATGATAAGGGTTTTACATCAAGTTGTTTTGGTTTATTGGATGGGTAGATTTGTCGTCTTCAGCTGATCAGTTCTGCACCTCTGCAGATGCGGTTTTCTGTGAGAGCACAGAGGAACGCTCTCCTGAGGACAAACAGAGACGAGCCAAGCAGACCTTTGAGGAGATGATGAACTACCTGCCAGGTGCCTCATAACAGCTGCAGCTATCAGCCCCGTTTAAAGGCACATTTTTAAGATCTTGAGCACATTTTTAAGATCTGTTTATGGTTATGTGTTGTCATTTTGAAGGTTCATTTAAACCAGTAATAAATACAAATAATAATATATACCTAACCATATAATGGCGTACAGTTAGCATTTAAAAGGAAGGAGAAAACACTTGGTCACACTTTATTTTAAAGGGGTCATATGATGTTGCTAAAAAGAACATTATTTTGTGTATTTGGTGTAATGAAATGTGTTTATGCGGTTTAAGGTTCAAAAAACACATTATTTTCCACATACTGTACATTATTGTTTCTCCTCTATGCCCCGTCTTCGCTATTAACAAACCATTAACTACGACTTTTGACTCCTAATTTGCTGCTTATTAATAGTTAGTATATGTGATTTATAAGTACTAATAAACAGCCAATATGTTAATAATAGGCACGCTAATAAGCAGCTAGTTAATAGTGAGAATTGGTCCCTTTACTGAAGTGTTGCCTGCAAATATTGTTGGGCGATTAATCAGCATATCATGTAGTCTTATCACGTTGACCAAAATTTTAGATGAACATCCCTAATTGATGTGTGGTGTTTCTCAGATCTGCTTGGGAAATGTATCGGTGAGGAAGCGAAGTATGAGGGCGTCAAGATGCTTTTCAACGCCATTCAGCAGCCACTGCTCAACAAACAGGTCCTCAAACGCTCTCACTCTCTGCTAAGTTGCCGTTTCTCTTTCATTGATCTTTTTCACGGATCTCTCATTTGCTCATAGATGACGTATGTGTTGCTTGACATCGCTGTCCAGGAGCTGTTCCCAGAGCTCAGTGAGGTAACGCTCTCCTGCACCACTCACACTGTGACACAGAGCAGCTCGTCGTGTTATTAATGGAGCTTCTGCTGTTTTGTCTTTTGTAGAATCAGAAGGCAGGTCTCTCCGTCTCCACTAGATGGATGTAAAACATTATCGGACCTAACATCAACATTATAAAGCGTTTATTGCACTACTAAAATACAATTATTTATTGACTTTAATGGGGTTTGTATGCCATGGCTATTCATTGGAAACCTGCCTTATTTTTACAGTCGAGTAGTAAAAGCATGATAATAACAAAAGGTTTGGATCAAGTAGATTATGTGATTCAAGACACATAATGTCATTATCAGCATGATAACATTCTTCAGATCAGATGTAAATAAACCATTTTACACTCTTGATGGTCCCTGAAGACACTCAAAAAGACACAAGATACAGACAAGTAAAAAAATAAAATAAAAAATCAATGACAGAACTGAGACATTTCATATAGTGTCACAGCCATGTGCAAAATAAAAGTACTGAAAAAAATGTTTTTGTAAATGCACTTCTGGCTTTGTGCTCAGTAAATAAAATCTTAATATATCCAGCAGCTTTGTCCCTGGTTATGTGTTTTACAATAAATCTTTAAATCTATTTAAAATAAATGCTTTGTAAAAATATGAATAGCTACCTTAGAAAAAAAGAGGATAGAGATGTCTTGCCAGACATCAGACATCGCTATCTATAATCATCACAAGTGCCGTTTAATTAACCATAATCATCATCAAGAAACAAATTACAGATTAATAACTTTACCCTTTTTTATAAGAATCTCATGAAAAGATGTACAGGTCATAATTGAGAAGAAAATAATAATTTTGAATAAAGAAAATGTCTGAGGACCAAATTATTACTGTAATACAAAACAATAAAAGTCAACATGAATTAAATCATACTACCGTAATGCATAATGTTAGAAATGTAAATTCTACTTTTTTTAATTTTCACATTGCAGTCATGAGAATTTGAGGTTAGAGTTAGCTGAATTATCATGAAATATTACCAAAATATCCTTAATGGGCCTAAAATAGGCTTTTTAAGCAAAAACGATTTTGGAGTGAAATATGATCTGGACATCTCTTTGTGAGATTCAGCATAAGTATACCCTCTATGAGTTTTAAAGAGGTGATCGAAAGATCCCTATAGAATAAGAACTTGTGACTTTCTTTGATCCTTACTACATCAGTGTTGCCAGTTAATCTGTTTGCTTCTATGACAGTAACTAATCTTTGGATTAAAGGTGTCTTTTGTTCTCTCTGACTGTACAATGACACACAAATGGCTACATAATAAACGACTAAACAAACATGACCCAGAGTACCCACACCAGCAGAATAGTGGACATATATCCTCGATGTCCAATACCAGAGCTTGTGAACTGAATCCGTCCTTCCACAGCTGGATGAACTCTCTTTCTCTCCGAGATGTAGCTGGCAACAACTGCTATATCCAGGTCGCCTATGGAATATGGTACACAGTATATTGTAATGCTAAGTGTATGATGAAATGTGCATATATAATGACTTACCGCTGTCATGCTTGAGTTTCTGTTGTTTGATCATAGAGTATCCATCTCCTCCTTCCACTAGGTAAGAGGGCAGCACCACTTGATACACCTTCTTTGGGTTGAGCGGTTCATAGCGGGGCACTCGACACTCAGTGCAGAGCACATTCACACTTTTAACACGGTTTCCAGGCGATTTTGATAAATCATACACCAGCTGAAACCCTGCAAGGTAATTATAAACATCAAATGAATATCTGAATTAAGGGTGCTTTCACACCTGTAGATCGATTGCTTTGTTTGTTTTTATTCTTGGTGCGGTTCGCTTTCACACGGCAACGTTTCTAAACGGACCAAATTTGTTAATAACAGTCACGCGCGAGTATCCTGTTCTCTCATTGGTCAAAGTTCCATGGTTTATTTTCCGGGATTCCACTTAGCTGTCATCCGTCAGGATGGAACGACAACAGCTTTTTTTTTTTTGTAGCTGTCCTTATATTAATTTATAATTTTGAGCAGGAGTCCAGGATTCATCGGGAAAACATTTTTAAAATGCACCTACTAGGAAGAAGAGCAATAAGACGGCATTATACAATGAAAAAGTGCGCATTTTTATTTTGACTGGCGAAGACGTGCTCACCCACAGACATTCACAAGTTTATTTTGAAGTATTAGCAAACCAACAAAGCTAATGCTTTTCACGGGAACTTACGTAATTACCCATTAAACATTGTGATATAGCCTGGTTCGTTAGATCGGATTGCTTTCTCACTACAACCGCTCCAGAGTTCGTTTTCAATCGAGCCGATACAACCTCGTTCAGGCGATCTCGGATCGATTGTTTTGGCGCGGATCCAGGCGCGATTGCCGTGTTCACATATGCCCAAACGAACCGAGCTGAGGGGGGAAACGCGCCAGGTGTGAAAGCACCCTATACACTCAAGTCATACGGACTAGTTTTATGATGCTTTGTTCATTTTGAGAGCTTAGCAACATTTGTCCATGCTATTCCAGTACTCAAATTGAGGGGGAGCTCTAGTTCACATAGAGTATACTTATAAACAGCTTACAAGAATTTCCCCAAAGTAAACGTACCAGACACCTGTAGGAATTCACCAGTGCTTCCTCCGTATCTGCGAACGGAGTGCTCAAAGACCTCGCGCAGAGTAGATCCATTGATTTGGACCAGGTCAAATGTACCTCCAAATGGCAACGCAGCGATCAGATCCTCCATTGTGATGGAGCCTTCAATCGAAACATGCATTAGGTGTGTTTCAGTATTATATTTACTGCTCCTGAAATCCTTAATCATCACAACCAATCAATTAAACTCAAGGGATATCGATCTGTCCCGTTAGGAAGCATAAGTGATTGTGAATCAGTGTCTCATACCATTTCTGTTTCGCTCATCAATAGGTGATCGAATGGCTCCACCGTTCAGAATACAAGAGCTGACATGGTTCCACTGGATTTCATCAGCGTATTTAATATTATTATGGACCTAAAATACAAGCAGGAAAGGTGTCCTATGGGTCTTAAGAGCACGATTTTCAGCAAATCTACCAAATTATATAGCAGGTCTGTTTAGAGTTGACAGTACATTTTTATTTTCACTTTGCCATTGGTTGAAATGTTTGCTGCTTGGATCATTTTATTACTTTTCAAGACTGGATGTGCTTCTCAGACTGCCTTTAGTTCATATTGGGTTTGAGGTTTTGCGTTTTGGTTTTGGCTGAGCGATAAGTGCTTGATTGAACTTTTTCAGGTACAAAGATTGTTTCTGAATGTGTGTTTGTTTGCGCCTGGTATCAACATCTTTCTCCAGTGATCCAAGTCAAGACATGACAGATGTTAATACAAGATGCAAGCAGACACATATTCAAAAACAATCACGCAATTATGTGTCTCTGCATGTTGTTCTCAAGCACGCTGAAGAACTATGAAGTTTTGGCATGTTTGGCGTTCCAATTTGTTCTGATGTAATGCTTATTTTAGTTTAAAGCTGCATGCAACCAGCAATGGTTGATTGTTGAGATCAGTGGATGGTCCTACAAATGCAAAACATTCTGGATGCAGCTTACACCTAGATTTCTCTCAGATCACACTACACTAATGATAATACCAGGTGTAAACAGGGCCTAAGATTAACATCTGCATTGTCACTCAATGCATTTGTAGGTGTTCAAGTTAAGCGATTTTGTACACAATATTCATACATCATGCTCTACAGAGTGAGATGTTTGTCCCATCTAGAGTAGTCCTCGTGTCCATGAAAAACAATATGCAAAATAATGCTATCAAAGAAAATGTAACGGCAAATGTATCTTTAAAGTCACAGACTTATTCACTCACCATGGCATCACAGATCAAATTTCCCAAATTACATTCACGGAATCGACATTCCTCAAATGTTCCATTGAGATAGACTAGAGTCTGTCCCACATGCTGAGCAGAGTAATTGGCCAGATTCTTCCTCCAAGCGTCCACTTCAGCCTGAATGACTGGATCTTGACAAAATCAGATCACAGGTTGAGACTGGCATATCAATAGGGCAACCCACAATAGAAATGCATCACATCTGATAGATACGGTGTAGTACAGGGGTGTCCAATCCTGCTCCAACACACCATCCTGGAAGTTTCTAGTGCTCTTGAAAACCTTGATTAGCTGGTTCAGGAGTGTTTATTTAGGGTTGGAGATAAACTCTGTAGGACAGTGGCCCTTCAGGAGCATGACTGGGCACCCTAATAGGTTATATTAGTATACTAATGTCCATTGAGTGCCCACGTTTTCAGTGGTCCTGGTTTCATGAAGTATTTGTGACCCTGGAGCACAAAAGCAGTCTTAAGTTGCTGGGGTATATTTGTAGCAATAGCCAAAAATACATTGTATGGGTCAAAATGATCGATTTTTCTTTTATGCCAAAAATCATTAGGATATTAAGTATAAGAACTTCATTTGGACAACTTTAAAGATGATTTTCTCAATATTTAGATTTTTTTGCACCCTCAGATTCCAGATTTTCAAATAGTTGGGCCAAATACTGTCCTATCCTAACAAACCATACATCAATGGAAAGCTTATTTATTCAGCTTTCAGATGATGTATAAATCTCAATTTCGAAAAATTGACCCGTATGACTGGTTTTGTGCTCCAGGGTCACATTTTTCCTGTTCATTTTCTCTGTAAGGATTTTGAAAAATTCTTAAATCAAGAGTTCTAAGACTCGAACCAAACCAGTCCAAGATCGCAACATTGCAAGCTTGAAGCAAATCTGGAAAAAATCCAGGAAAAGAAGCGAATTTGCTCGCAGATTTAGTTGCTATTTGAGCAGAATTGCTCATTAGAGATTGCTAAACTGCAACTTTCCATGTTTGCCGGTGTTTTCAGCTTCCGTAAGGTAGAGAGAGCACATGCAAATGGTAGCCAGATTGGAAGATTAAATAAACCACTGGGCAGAAAATGTATCAATTCAAGATAAAAGCTTGTTTAAGGATAAATAACCAGCAGGTAATTCAGGCAGATGAATAAATAACTGCCCTATCTGAACTGATCCAACACTGAACTGAGCTGAATAGTGACCCTGTTGTCTTTTAGTATCTGAATTGTCTGAGATGAGTTTCCATAAGTGATTCTGTTATTTCCCTGTCTATTACTGTGAACCAACTCAATTACATCCTTGGCAAAGCTTCCTCGGCTTGGGCAACTACCTTGTTACAGTTTTCATTTTCATGATAAGAGAAAATACTTGGCTCAGAACTTGACCACTGAACACACTGTTTAAAAACATTTCCCTACTGCGAAGATGGGATTTGTCCTATTTGTCCTGTTGTCCTATAAGCTCTACTGACTTGTTTTAAATTCTCTAATTTGTTTCCATGTTTCCAGTTTTCTTACCTGGTGCTGTTGAGTTATCCAGAAGAATTGGATTGCCTGAAGACTTCACCACATTTCCATTTGAATCAAAAGCCACTTTTAGGAATCCCAGATACTTTCCAAAGGCATAGGCCTGGACCACAGGAACCTGGCGCCCATCATCTGACTGGACCATGAATGGATATGGTCCTGCAGGAACTTCTGTGGATGGTGGAGTTCCTACAGAGATGAGCACACAAAATAAATGGACAGAGAGTACATACTTAAATTAAGTACAGTAATACTGTGCAAAGTTTTTTGTAGTAGTTAATATCATTTGCTTTAGTGTGCTGTTGATAGACATTCCTTTTACTAATAATGCAATAATCCAGAGAAGGTTTCTGTATGGACAAGGAGTCCAGCAACAAATAGTATGGGCTCACACCAGGTATCAGCCAGGTAAATCTGGCCACTTAATAACACAAAATAAGAACACACCTCTTCCTAGCAAGTCACATAATTTATGGCATCATTTATGCCCAGAGGACAGAAGCGAAAACCCATGTGTAATTCTTGGGGTTAGTAGTCTATTCCTGCTTGCCTAGAAAACACAAAGGCTGCAGCAGAGGTGAGTAACATGCAAATGAGTAGTATTTGGCAGCCTGAGCAGAGTTTCTGAAGCAAAAGAAACTTCAGTCAGTGCTGTACTGGTTAGCTGTTTGGATCAAAATAAGGTGGTTTCACCTTTAGTCCATCACACGCATTACGGTCACAAAGCCCATGTCTTTTATTAAAACACAGATTAATCAAATTGAATGAGAGTGGTATTAGAGGTGTATGGGTGTTACTTTGTTTGTGATGGGATCAGCACTCCTGTGCACCTGTGCATACACCATTTAGCACTTTAATGTATTTCTGCGGAGCTGTTCCAAGAGACCACAGCCCTTATTAAGAGAGTGGAAATGAAAGTTCTTGATCTTATTATGAGTGTCATTTTGTTTTGAAAAGTGTTGGGAACGGACAGTCCATTGCACATCTTTAACAAATAAAATGATTCACAAATTAACCTCTAATTTGTGGTCCTGGTGAAAGAAGGTGTAGAATAGAGGTACACTGTTAAATTTCATTGAGTGAAAATTACGAAGTGTACCGGCCTCTGTGAAATTATATTTTCTTATTTTATGCAGCTCCACAGTTAACTGGACAACAACAAAAACGGCACAATGTAGTTGCAAATTCACATCGATTGGTAATTGAACGAAAAAATCTGGCGTTTAGAGGTGAGTGAATTCTGACTGAACTCTTGAACACAAAGGCCAATCACAGGTGTTCAAGAAATCAACAGATATGACTGAGATTGGCCACATTGCTCAATGCTACAAAAACACATTGTAAATAGAAAGTTTTAATGAACACAAACGCAAATACGCACTGTAGCCTTTACCAAATGTGTTTCGCCAATATCCTATTATTACAGTTTTAATTGAGGGTGTTTTGACCGCGTGAGAAAATGGACGTGTGGCGCTTCTGTGCTACACGGAAGAAAGAAAAAAAAAAATGTAAATGATGGGAAAATAATTTTTTTGAAATAGTAATGAATTCGAATCAATCAAAAAGTGTAAACTGACACACCAATAATAATACATATAAACCCATAGGCAATTAAATGATACATACCTGTGTATAGGAATGTATTGGTGTGCCCTCCAATCACAACATCCAATCCTCGAACTTTCTTTGCGATATTTTGGTCCACTTTGAACCCAGAATGTCCAAGGGCGATGATCTTATTAACACCCAAAGCGATGAGTTTGTCCACTTGAGTCTGTAAAGCAGTAACCTCATCCTCAAACTGGAGATGGGGGCCTGTAAAATCATATAAATATGAAAAAACCCCATGTTATTGATGGCTGTAACCAAATCTTTATATTCTTCTGACGACCCTAATCTGTTTAAATGTGCCATCAGGCAAGTCAATCACTCTCAGTCAACCGAATCTGATCTTGACTGATTCTAGGATCTATGTAATCTCAAATGATATGGGCTGGATTAGTGGAAGTTTAATGTTAGTTGCACTAAAGCACTAAACGTGGGGCCTCATTTATAAAGCGTGCGTACACTCAGATTTGCTCTTAGAGTGTGCATGCACTTAAATCCACGCCAATGCTCATATTTGTACTGCCTTTGACGTGGAAAAGTGCTTAGCGTCCGAGCAGACGTACGCATTTTTTCTTGTCGGAGTACTGCAGATTTTTGGAAATGTAAGCTGTTCTTGCAGCTCGCTGTTCTAAATTAAAGCATTTGGACAATGACTGGTGATCTTTTATATGTTAATGCCATTACAGTTTGTTCAATTGCTAGCAAGCGTTTACCAATACTTAAAGTATTTTTTTCTAGACTCTTTAACACAGCAACACACCTACATCACACAATTAGCCAAACCTTTTTCTACATATACTAACTCTATCAAAACACAGCAAACCTGATTCAAAATTGAGTCATTCGGTCAAAACATTAGCACTAATTTTCTATCCAACAGGAACTATAGTCAATCATAGCACATAGACTGTCAAAATGCTAACAATTAATTACAAAAAACGGCATTACTTGTCATGTTTCAGTTCTACCTGCATATAATAGACAATATAAAAAGCCATAGTTTTTTTTTGTAATTTAGCCTTCAGTTTACCTTCAACTGAAACCCATTTTAGATTTTTCAGTGCTGAATGTGTTCATTCTTGGCAACATGCTATCTAAAACTGAATGAGTCATTGCTTTATAGAATATACAATAGAAAAAATAGGGTCCTCTATGCAGAAATTCAATTGAAACCTTCAGTTGTTACAATATTTTATATAGAGAGCTTTTTTTCAATACTTTTCAGCTGCTGTTATACTATATTCAAGGTTTGGAACATTAGGTCTTCATTTCTGACATGCTGTGTTTAAGCAAAATAAGACTAAAAAGATCCATGACTTTGGTTTTGGGTAAGCTTGTGTGAAAAGGTAAAAAATGTAAGCATTTTATAAACATGGTAATTGACTGTGTGAAAACAACACAAATTTTGTTAATGGTATGGTCACAACAGATGGATGTTGTGCTAATTGTGTTTAGAGTTTTGAAAATGTGACTAGAGATTGGACAAAAGGATGTTAGCAACTGAAAAAAAAACTAATTAGGAGTTGTTTACAAGGCAGAGAGCTGAAACCATTTAGTTGTGCGCAAGGTTCTATGAATCACACGTACGCATATTTGAGAGATGATCGTAAAATCAAATTTAGGATGGTTTCTGCACAACATTTTATAAATGAGGCCCAGAGTCAAGAGGAAGAGACTGAATTATTGGTGACAGCTTTGGATACAAAAGAAAAGAATATCAAATGAAGGGTGTTTCATTAAAGAACAGTATGTCCATTCTGTTCTGCAAAAACAAGATTTCGTATGTATGTATGTCAGTGTATTTCTTATGTGCATGCTGTAAGGCAGCTTCGCATCTTAGAGGAGCCTATTTGATGTGACGTGTATGATTGAGAATAGGAAAGAGCAGACAAATATATAGTTCAGTCATGAAACTCTAGATGGCGCATGCGACGGGTTGTTAACGTAACCAATGATATTCAGAGAGTTAAACAACTTGGCACAGCTGATTGGTTCATGCTGCATATGCAGCCAATGAGCTTACTGCCTTGCATTTATATGGCTGGCTAGCATTCACTAGAGATTCCTGCAGCGTGCTTTCAGAGTTTCTCTGAAACCCTCCATCTTCCCCAGCTCCACCTGTATAGATCTGCTATGGGTTATTTTATATGCTATTTGTGCAGCAGCAGTATGTCTTAAATACTCACAGCACTGTATCGCCGTATGCATTGGCAGTAGCAAGTTCCTGTACTTGCTTGCAGCAGCAGCAATAATCTACAGCAATAACCAACAGCAGCAGCAGCAGCGTAGCAGATCTATTCTGCCAAGACCAAATACATTAACATTGTCATATCCATCACCATGCTAAAATCTTCCGAGAGTTGTCATGATTGAATTGCATTTACAGAAAATCTGTATAATATATATATATACTGAACAATAGTTGTTAATGTAGTGACCACTTTCTTTTGGATGTGCTCAAATTGTCCATTTATAACAGAAAACTGCATAAAACTTGAAGCATAAGAGAAAAAAGTGTGAATTTTGTGTACCATTGCAGCTCTACTAATAACTGCTGGAAGATAGTTCATTCTGCTACTTCTCAGGTTGCTTATCAATTTTAGGATTCTGCTTACAAAGCCTTGAACCTGAAGCAAACTATTGGAACTTGTATCACTTTCTCAGTTAAAGGATCATGAAACACTAAACTACATTTTCTGAAATGTTAATAGAAATGTTTGTGTTGTGCAAGGAAATGTTAGCCTCCATTAATGTATGTAATGAATTCATGTCAGCTTGGCTGAAATTCTCTTTTATAGAGACGGAGCCTTCGACACAAACGCAATACATTCAAACTGTCTTCAGAACTCCTCGAGCACCTAGAACTAAACAGTTTATATTTCTGAATAAACATCGGAAAAATGTGTGTGTATATATTTATTTGTGAATAGAGATCACAGCATATGTGTGTAATTGTGTGATGCACTTTGAGCTTAAAGTGTATATATGTTCCTTTTGTTGCGTGCAAAAGTGAACCACAGCATGCACTTGTGGGAAGCTTTGATGCTTTGAACTCAACGAAAGTGAAATAAAACCGAGTTAGAAGCCATTGTTGTGTTATCACTCCTCTGTTGTTTTTCACCCCTCCACTAAACCTCAAGTATACCACACCTAGTTGTTCTCATGTTTTTCAAAAAAAATTTGGTGATATCTAAACTGTGTGGAAATAGGGGATTTCAGGACTGTTTAAGTCTAAACTTAAACTTTAAAATGAATAACAACATCGCTGCCCTTCGTAAAACTGTTTAAAGCTGAGCTGAATTTGATTAAATTCACAGTTATTGATTTCAACTGAATCAAGACTAATATAACTTGATCTAAACAATGACACTGTTTTCGTTCAGAGCTACTTTACAGCAGAATCTGACCTGTCTCCATAGTTGAGTTTCCATCATTGATTCTGCTGTTTTCCTGTTCACCGTGAAGCTATAATGTTCAATAAAGTCAATAAAAAGCTCTATACAAACAAAGGTGAAGACTAATTTGTTTAACCGAAAATACATTTATTCCTTTACTCAACTCTTAGTTGTGCAGCAACTAGTCAGGTCTGAAAACATTATATTTGATCACTTTATCATTAAATTGAATAAAGAATGGCATCTACACTAATGTTAGTCTGGTAACACTTTATTTTGATAGTCCACTTGAAACAAGTAACTTTGCAACTACATGACAACTACCAGTCACTTGAGTATTAGCAGACTATCTGCTTAATTTATATTTAGATGGTCCCCAATAGACATCCTACTGACTTTAAGTAACTTTGCAAGTGCATGTCAACTTACTCTACTAACCCTAGCCCTAATGTAATGAGGGTTAGTTGACATGTAGTTGCAAAGTTACTTACAGTTAGTAGAATGTCTATCACAATAAAGTGTAACCATTAATACTTTTGTTTCCCTTTAGATTCCTATCCTGAAGGCACCAGGGCCTTGTAGATCCAGCCTCGGCCTAGTTGGATGTTCTGCTTCATCCACTATATGTGACCCGTGCTGGCAAAATGAGTGTGAATGCGCACAGGCTAATTTTGAGCTACACGCAAAAGAAGTGAAAAATGTCGATTTTAGTTGAATTTGAGGTTTTCACAAAAATGAGTTCATTAAGCCCTTGTCTAGTGATGCCAATGCTCCAAATAGTAATTAAACATCCAAAATAATCTTAATTTCTATGTTTTCTGAGAGAACCTTTTCTTCGCTTGCTTCTCACAGTGACTTTCATCCGAAGCGCCTGCATAAAGACTCTTTTGACAGCGCGCAATCCCGATAAATATACACGTATACACAGAATTACAGTATTTAAGTATTCACACAAACATAATCTGTTAAGTCTTGAATGAACGTTTGGGGAACTGTTGGGGAAAAACATTGGATGTGTAACATTATATTAGATCCGTGCATTACAGTAGGTCTTAATATATAGGCCGTCTGTCTCATGTTGAGTTATTTACACTGTTAAAGAGTTGGATTCTCATGCTAAACATGGCCAAAGTAAAAAAAAACAAAAAAACATTTGGATGTAGTTTCTGTACCAAATATACTCCTTACGGGTTCGTATAAGTTTCAGAAAGTTTTTTTTTCGAGCCTGGCTCTTCATGACGTCATTAAGGGTGGAACTCCTTATATGGGCACTTCTCCCAGAAGAGCGCACCCGCGCATGCATCAACCATTTTTACATTTGATTATTTGTTTTTCTTATGTTTAGATGTAAAAATGAAAAAGGTAGTGCATTATTTGTTTCTTATTTGTGACCCTGGAGCACAAAAGCAGTCTTAAGTCGCTGGGGAATATTTGTAGCAATAGCCAACAATACATTGTATGGGTCAAAATTATAGATTTTTCCTTTATGCCAAAAATCATTAGGATATTAAGTAAAGATCATGCTCCATGAAGATATTTAGTAAATTTCCTACTGTAAATATATCAAAACTTCATTTTTGATTAGTAATATGCATTGCTAAGAACTTAGTTGTAGAATAGTTATTCGTTAATAGTTAATAGAAGAATAGTTGTATCTCTGCCAAATATTGTTCTATCCTAACAAACCACACATCAATGGAAAGCTTATTTATTCAGCTTTCAGATTATGTGTAAATCTCAATTTTGAAAAATTGACCCTTATTTCTCAGTTAAAGGATCATGAAACACTAAACTACATTTTCTGAAATGTTAATAGAAATGTTTGTGTTGTGCAAGGAAATGTTAG